TAACTCACTGTGTCACACTGCAGCTTCCATGACGTGATTTTTTTTTCATTTTTTCTTAAATTTTTTCATTTATTTTACATACCAACCACAGTCTCCCCTCCCTCCTCTCTTCCTGTTCCCTTCCCCCACCTCCCTTCTATCCCCTGCCCCACTTCCCCTCCCTTCAGAAAGAAGCAGGCCTCCCATGGGAGTCAACAAAGCATGGTGTATCAAGATGAGGCAGGACCAAGCTCCTCCCTCTGCATCACGGCTGAGTGAGGCATCCCAGCATGGGGACTAGGTTCTTAAAAAGCCAGATCATGTGCCAGGGACAGGTCCTGATCCCACTTCTAGAGGCCCCACAAATAGATCAAGCTACACAACTTTCACCCACATGTGGAGGGCCTAGGTCAGTCCCATGCAGGCTCCCTAGCTGTTGGTCCAGAGTCTGTGAGCTCCCACTAGCTCAGGTCAACAGCCATGATGAGATTTTTTTTTAAGTTTTTCTCTTTTTTCTTTTTTTATTATTATTATTTTCCTTTTTCTCTTAAATTTTGTTCTATTTGGGGAGTGTGCAGGGGTAAAGGACAGATGCAAAGGGACAGGAAATGAATAGGATCCAGATACATGATGTAAAAAACCACAAAGAACTAATTAACTAATTAACGTTTAAAAAAAGAAAATGAAGTGCCTGCATTGCCCACCCTGAACACCAGGGGACAGGCAAGGACAGCATTCAGCCTGGGCTCGGGCACTCAAACCTCTTGCCCTCAGCCTGCTGCAGAACTGGCTGCAGATGCTCCTCCGCGGGCTTCATTTCTACTAATGCACAGGGCACTTCACCAAAGGCGGGGTGCACAGGGCACTTTTTAGACTCTCGGTAGCCTTATTTTGTAAGAGTTTTGTTGTGTAATGTTTACAAACATTTGAATGCAACCATTTTAAAGTTTTAATTTGAATAACTGAGGAGTGTACCTACCCCCTCCCCCCCACCCCCTACGTATCATGTGTCTTTCTCTTCAAAAAGTCCCCTCATGCCCTTTTATGTTAATCATTTCCTTGAACTCTGCTCCCTGGCAACCACCTCACCATTTTCCATTGTTGTAAGTTTGCCTTGTCTATCGTAATACAAAAAGAGTCATTTGTGACGGGCTCTATCCCCTAATGCTTTTGAGATTTAAGGAGTAGCTCACTCCTTTTATTACAGAGTGGATTCCATGTATGTTTGCACCACTACCCTCTCACCAACTATATGCATCTGAGTGGACGGGGGGGAGGGGGCCGGATTATTAATGACTTTGTGTAGGCAAAATGTAATACTCCATCTCTTTGGAATAAACTGAGAATAGACCTGCTGAGCCATATATAATGTGTGTTCATTCAACTTTTTAAAAAATTGCCCAACTGTCTTCCAAGACTCTTTTAATCCCGTCGGCTGCTCCATGTCCTCTCTCAGCCTACCAAGTGTTAAGATTGCAAGTGTGTACCACACCATGTCTCATGGTTTTATGGTTTTAAATCTGATTATGATGGATGGGCATGCAGTGGTGTCTAATTGCAGATGTCTCCTTGAATCTTCTCTATACCCCATTTCTGTAGATGTACACATATACACACACTCACACACACAGAGTTGCACACAGACATGCACACACCACAGAAATGCCCCAAAAGTTTTCTTTATTCCACTTGGTTTACTCTGGACTTAGACATTGGTGATGCAGGGTCTCTGAATGATGGTGCAGTATATGGCAGAGCTATATGGCATGTAGTAGCTCAGGATTAAGAAGTACTGGACAG